TTCCTGCTGTCAGTGGATAAAGTACATTCATTGCAGTCTGCCATCTTCTCTTTTGTTCTAAAAGCAATGGTGGAATAAAGCCACAACTACATGTTTTGTTAAAAGAGAGAGCTAGAGAGAGCCTTGAGACAACAGAGAAAGAAAAGAGGGAAAACAGGATGGTAGATTAACCTGCACCTGAGGCCAGACAGGGTCCTCAAAAAAGAGAGAATGGGGAATGCAGGGCAAGGACAGGGTGATCAAAGGAAAGAAAGGAGTCATGTACCTGAACTTTAAATGTTGTGAGAACGTCTGATGTGCCAGAATTAATGAAATAAGTAAATAATGTGACTGGTTTTCAGATAGGTCTCAACTAAAAAGTGCATAAGTATCCAACTATTAGTTGCCTGTTTTTTTAACTGATAAAGTGAAGTTACAAGTTTATGATGACATGTTTGCACTGCTACCTGCTCAATTTCCCATTTAATCTCATTCTCCCACCTCCTCAAGATACGCCTATTTCTTCTTATGCTGTATATCAGTATAAATGATGCTGACCCTGGAAGAACCCCTGAGGGATTCAGTCTCTAAACAGCCATTACAGGCAAGATGAATGGTGCGGCAGCCAGCATTCACTTGGGCGCCATATTGTTTCAAGTGCTGAGGTGCATTTGATATCTTTTACCTTGCATGCAGTCTTATTACATCGCTGGCAGTTCAAAAGTATGCTAATGGTCGGAGCTTATGCTAGAGCATATGAAATCAATTTTGCTCTTGTGCTATTTGTTTTAGAAAGGTTAAAAAAAAACCCCACTGCACTCCAGACTCCGTAAATGCAGAGTAATGCTTTTACTAGAGCCCCGTGCAGACTGCTCAGTTACACTGTTTGATAAAGACCTACATTTATTTAACACTTTTGTCCAAGATGCTGTACAGTTTTTTATTCTTACCCACAGTAGCACACAGACAACGTCAAGCTGCCATGCGGGGGCTGGCCTGGGTTCAGTGTCCTGCACTAGGACACTTGGATGGGAGGATGGAGGAGCTCACCCTATGATTAGTGCTAGTCACAGCTGCCCAGAATCACAGCTATAAAAAATGACAACTTAATTGAAGTCAACTAAATGGCACTAATTGCTGTACTGTGTCTGGAGAAACCTGGACTTAATTCAAGTTTTTCCAGTTTACAATTCTCATTGAACATTATTCTTTGAGCTGAACTTTTGTTAACACTTTTCTCATATACAAAGTTTTCTGTGGAAGCTTTAAAATGTTGCCACTGCTTTCTGAGATGTTCTGAGACTTTGGTGTGTTGTGACAAGCCTGATACCTGCTCCACCCACCTGCACCACCTTCTGTGCCTGAATGTCAACGACCAGCAGTCGACTCTGGAGGGGCTGGGTCACGTAGATATACTTATCCCTGATGTTGACTGCTGACGACCACACGCAGTGCTGAGGTGACACCCCCTCACCTTTAGGGCACATCTCCTCCTGGTAAGAACCAACATAAAACAGAGAGGAAGATAGGAGGAGGAAAAGGTTGGCAGGATTCGCCAGTGTGTCACGGATCAGCAGTACAGTTCTTTTTCTACTATCACTCATCAAAATTGTGGGTTATTTGCTTTTACTGGACTCATATCATGATGTGATTTTATCATGGAACCATTCTGCTACCGATAACACTCCCTAAGATTGTTTCCATATAAGAACCAGTATTTGTGCTTTTAACTTAGAAATCATATTATGTATGAGCTTGAAGTAAACATTGTGTTCATATACCACTGCTGATCAGAGTAATAGATCTCCAGGCCCTGCAGCCTGCCAGCTTTGCTGACGAGAGACGTATGCACCCACTCCCTCTGTACTATGTATACTAGTATGTACTCACTAATGCACAGACCCACAACAGTGGTGTTTTAAGAGTTTCCTCCTCCTCTCCACCTCAACAAAGTAGAGAAACTGCTGTTTACAGCAGGAACTGCCTAACACATGGCTTACTGAGTTTGTATTGATCTTTAATACAATTACAGGCTCCTGTAAAACCCAAATTCCTCAGAGGAACAACCAACTTTACCATCTAAAGCCCATTGCTCTGGGAGAGTGATGTTCTCCAGTGGATTAAAAACGTCAGGGTGTGTAGAATAGACTCTGTACAGTCTGCTGGTGTGAGATGCTGAATAATGGACGCAAGTAATGCCATTACATTTAGTGACACAGGAAGGGGAGGAGGAAGGATGGCCTTCATTTAGGTTGTGATTTCCTTTCACAATGAAATGTCAATGAATAACTATAAAGTAAGATAAATGGGTAAACCTTGAGATTCTAATGGATAATTATTTTCCCATTGAAGAATACGGGCTCTGCTGCTCGTCTGGATTATGGTACAACAAACTAATTAAGTTCTATTTCTAACTGGGAGTAAGATACCCTTGGTGGTGTAGCTACGGTATCCTTCTGCTTTACATATAATTTGACTTTAAAAGACAGCAATTACAAACAATATCCTGAAACATATTTAGTGAAATATGGGGGAAGTCTGAAACTAAACTACAGGCGTGTCATTACCTGACAGAGACCTTTGTTGTGTACTTTTGCTATATTTACTACACCATAAAACCTTGATATCTAAAACATAATAGGCACTTACATAGGTGGCAACAATCCTCTCTGTCCTCTTCATGTGTCTGTGTATCTCACATTCACTGGGCTGGAGAACTGTGATGCCCTCATCAGAAAATATGTAGAACATGTTCCCCACACTCAACCCTAGTAGAGAGAAAATGTTGAGAAAACTGCTTTTAAAAAAACAACACATACAAATTAACACAACAGAAAATATCACTCCTGTCTTATCTGACATGATGGGCATTTCAATTTCCCTGCCAGAGGAGACGTGGTAAGACTTATGTTAGCAGGCTATCATGCTTGCTGGGATGGGCAGCGTGTGGCTGCCAGCTGCTCTGACAATGCCTACAAAGGGCCCTGTCAGCAACATGTCGACAACATACTATGGCAGGGGACATCAAATTAAAGGCAGTGTCTTCACGAGGAAGCATTTCACTTCTTGTCTGCCTGGTGTAAACAGCTGCTGCTGAATTATGGAGATCACTGTTGGTCATTTGGGTGAACAACAAGCCGGTGATCCTGTCAGGAATACATCACATGAGCAGAGATGATATGCATATTCACACTTATGGCATGCATAAACGAGGAGGATGCATTTGTTGTTGAAAATTATGATGGCGACTGATTTGTCAGGCTGTTAGTATTTGTGCACTACATCCCTGTCAGATAAAACACAGAATGAGCACTCAACATTCTGAAACACATGCAAGCAGTTCATACCAAAACGCTGACACAAAAAGAAACACACACACACAGTAAACACATGATGCTAATGGGGTAAAACCAACACTGAGTATTGTAGTGTATTCTAAACCACACCGGTTTCTTTTGGTTCTGAGGTGAACCTGACGTGGTTATCATGAATATAAAACAGACTGTATTTGTATTACATTCTAAACCACAGAGGATTTTCCAGTGAAGTTGTAAAACCATACATGTGGCCATGTTCATGTTGTAATAATTACAGTATATGTGCAGGACAAAGAGAGGGCGGGTTTGTATACTGTTGTAAACCACAAAGTTGTTTTCCTTGTAGCTACCACATTGGATCTGTGGCATTATTTTCAAAATCCATAAATTCCTGCTCATGTGTAAAGTGCCCTTCCCCAGGGTGATCTGAAAAGAATAGAAAGAACACTACGAAAGGATAGAACACCTGGGGTATGCAAGGGAGAAAGCGAGACTTGAAGCAAAAGTTTTGTTGTAGAGGAAACAACTTTGTGATTCTTTGGACAATACAGCAAACATCTTGCAAAGTGTAGATATCCAGCTGCAGGAGATGAAGAGCTATAAAACATGCTCTGCACCTTTTCTTATTCACAACAATGCAAAGGCATTTTGATAGCTGTAATGTATTACCTTCTTCTCTCCACAGAATGTTTGCAACTGCAGAATCAGCCAGAGAAAAAGGGGACAAAAGAGAAGGAAAATATTAAATCATCTTGAGAAAACAAGAGACAGGTGATTTCTCTTGTCAGAAATGTCAAAACAAAAAACATTTGACAGATGCAAAATGTTGCCCACTGCTGCTGACAGGACCATGTTTCCTCCTCCTAAATCAAGACATCACTCTTGCCTTGAGAGGAGACACGTCTGATTATTCAGTTTAATTTTGATTGGCCTGATTAGCCTGGTCCAGGTAGCCATGGTTAACTTCAAATGATGCAATCTAATGAACGACCAAATATTGAAGAAACATAAAACATGAGATTTGATTGTTTAAATCTTTGTATTTGAATGAGATCATTACATAAATGAAGCCAGTTAACTGCCCACAGCCACAACATTTGTTTGGATTACAAATGACTGGTTTAGATGGTACATCAGTTTTCTACCACTTTGAAATACTACAGGGGGTAAATGGAACAAATGTTGCCCTTAACGCTCACTTGTGATCTCTATGTCTGTCAGGTATGGACATTATTTAGCTGATATCATGTATTCTGATCTCAGCATTAGTATAAAAGGTGCCAGGCAGCTGGGTGCAGTTAATATAGAAGTGCCACTCTGCGCTGCCATTTCAGCATTATTCAGGTCCCCCCTAAGTTTTTCACGCTGACTGTATATAAAACTGGGCAAACCCTCTGTGACGTCACCCGATTTCTGAAGAGCAGTTTTGAAGATCAAGTCTGGCCGTTGCCATACTGGTAGCACTTCACTCCACCTGCTACGTCTATGGCAGTGATGTCAGATGAAAGCAATTATATTTATCTAGAAAGCTAAATCTGTGAACAGTGTTAGAGGTCCCCAGGGTCAAACGATGCTGCTGGGGTGACTGTGCTTTTCTGTAGTGGCCCCGAGACTCTATAAATGTTGGATCTGTGTCAGACCTGTCAGAGTTTAAATCCTAATTAAAAGTGTATTTATTTGCCTTGGCAACTATTCTTTGTGACTGTTTGTCACCTTATTTTGTTTCTATTCACTTTTTATGGTGTTTTATTCTTTTTTTTAGTACTTGTGAAGTACTTTGATCAACATGTCATTGTTTTAAAATACTACATAAATGCATTTTGATTTGATTTGATCTTTCTTTAACTTCCTACCGATTAAAACGCTCTCTAGGCAGGCATTATCACTGAGATTTATACCATTATGGTTCATGTGATAAACTCATTTTGCAAAAAACACATGGGTAAACTTATTTGGTTTTCAAGGTCATGCTTCTTTTAGATTCTGTAATGGACAGAAACAAGGCTGAAATGTTATTGAGTTACTATAATTTTTTTTATTCAGGAGTCGAGATTGAAAGTTGGCACTGTAAGACTTACGGGTCTTCTTGGCTGAGTCTTCAACAAACAGAGAGGAGATATCTTCGTCCACTCCCACTTCGTTCTTGGCGATGCACGTGTAGGCTCCGGTGTCTTCGTACCGAACGCTGCCAATGAAGAGCTCGCTACCATTTGCTAAAAGCAGAAAGGAAACAAATGGAAAACAAAGTGTTTGTTCTTGCTGCATTATAATACATCTTTATGGAGTGCATTACATATAGCCTACTGTATATTTGACACTGTTAACTGGCAGCCTTATGCAACAAAAACAGTGCTTTAATAAAACAACACTTCACATCAAGCATGTGTCGCCCACTCCCTCCACCCAATAAAATAAAAGGCTGGATTGTTTGGTTCAAGCTGCGGTAGTGATGTCAGACGGAGGTGACAGGTGATGGCGGCCATGTTGAGACAGAGGTCAGTGTCAGAACCAGACTGTCTGATGTAGCATCAAGGACTGTAATGTACAGCTGCCGTATGATTCTCCCTGTAAGTACTGTATCACTACACTGATCACAATACCACTGCACTTTACAGAATGGCATAAGAACATTAAAGGAAGCTTCAGTTTTCATCCCTTTCTGTGCACGTCCCAAAGTATCTCCGAACTTCTATAACATCCACACTCTCCTTTTAGTCTTTCACTTGTTAGATTTCCTCTTTTTGCCTCACGTCTGTTTTCTTACCTGTTACAGTTTTTCCACACATTTACGAAACAGCAGTGAAACACACGCTTGCAAATCAAGCAGTGCTCATTTATTTGAAAATGATCTCTATCTGCTAATTTATTAAGGGCTTATAAAAATAAGACATTACAGAAGTTGACGCAAACCTTCTCACATTAGTGAAATGTCTTTTGGATTCTGATAATTCTCTTTTATCAGGGGAAAGTGCAACACTTTGAAGTAAAAACTGCCTTGAAACAGGCCTTCACACAACTTTAATTTGAATTCATACAATTATGTTCAGCTCGATTCATTCTGAAAATCACTGAATCAACCACTCATTAAATTAGCCTTCTGATTTTGCAACACATGGCATATAGACAAACTTAGCAACTAGCTGGTTAGTGCAGTGCAGCATTTAGCAGCTAAACAGCCAGATATTTTGGTCAGGAGTTAGTGGAGAGCAAAACAGAAGTAAAAACGCCCAGAGACACTGCTTCACGTTGCTCAGTGTGTTAATATGCAACTACTTACAAACAAGTTCACCACAACAACTTTATATGTTATTGGTGGGTTTACAGCTTAAGTTGGCAAAAATTAGTTTTCAGACATGTTCAGATAGTTACTTTGGGTCATCCCACTGACGTCACTGTAAACAGTTCCCACTAGAGCTACTTCTTATCTTGACATCTGCTTTTGACACTGTGGACCATGGAATTTTGATAAATCGCCTTCAATCGCTGGGATTTTCTGAGACTGTCCTGAGGTGGTTCTCTTCCTATCTTAGTGATTGAACTTTTAATGTGAATATTAATAATATCATGTCTGGAGTGGCTGCTTTGTTCTGTGGAGTTCCACAAGGGTCGGTCTTGGGCCCTCTTTTGTTTTTACTATATATATATATCCACTGCGTCAGATTATCCGGCGCTTTGGCAATGTGTCTTATCATCTTTATGCAGATGATCTTCAAATTTATTGTTCTTTTAATGATTCACCAATTAGCGATATTATTAGAGTGCTTGTCATCCATTAAGATCTGGCTCAACAATAATTATCTTTGCATAAATTCTAACAAGACTGAGACACTTATTGTGGCACCTGATACTAAGATTGCCGGAATTAAACAACACCTTGGTTTGTTGGGCTCTTCTGTCCAGTTGAGCCTTCGAAGCCTTGGTGTTGTGTTGGACCAGGCAATGTCCTTTGACTGTCATATAAGACAGTTAGTCAGGAATTGCTTCTTTCATTTGAGAAATATATCTAAATTAAGGAAGATTTTATCTAAGGGAGATCTTGAG